AGAGCAGAGGTTTCGTCCATTATCATCATAGTGGGAAGCACTATGCAGACAAATGTGGTGCAGGAGAGTAGCTGGGAGTTCACACCCAAATCAGCAGGCAACATGAAGAGAGACACCGAACCTGGCTGGAGCACGTGAAGCCCCAAAGCCCACGTCTGTGATTCACTTCCTCTGACAAGGCCATGCCTCCTAATAGTGGCACTCCCTGGTGACCAAGCATTTGAGTCTGTGAGCCAATGGAGCCATTCTTGTTCAAACCACCACAAAGATTTAAAGTCCACTCACAGGGGAGCTTAAAATTTAGCAATGGTCACAGTGCCACACCCTGGGTGTTAGGATCATCATGGGTGCTTTTCCTCGTAGGATTTACTGATACACTGTTTCCCAGAATTCCCTGGGAGAGCCCTGACGGCTGTATTTGCGGTGCTTCACTCAGATGGACGTTAATGGAGTCCTCGAGGACCGGCATTAACAGGCTGTGTTAAGTGGTAGTTAATCTCTCTGAGTTCATTTATGAAAGGTCTAAGTTTCCATTCTAGCTGACATGAGTTATTACACAAGAAAGCCACTAGCCCATTATTATAAAATTATTGCAGTTTTCCCCCCTCTGCTGATTTTGAAGAATTTCCAGCTAAATCATATCCTGTAGGGACTGATTTCCTGCTTTGCTTTGCTAAGTCTCTATCTTCCCTTGGATGCAAGTAGCCCTTCTAAATTATTCTTGGTGAAGACTCACTGGAGCTGTAGCCATTAAATCAGTGGTCAAATTACTAGGGTTAAAAAAATTCATTTTTGCTTAAAAGAACGTGTACAATGGAACAGTGACCTTTAGTGCGTTTGTGAAGAGTGTAAGTGTGGGAAACCTCACAGGCTCTGCAGAGTAGTGCAGAGCCTTCATGAACTCTTGGTGACCAAGAGAGCACTGAGAGCTGTGGCATCAATGTGTTGTGTGTGCACGCAGGAGAGCCAATTGGGAGCCAATTAGATCACAGAGAGGAGGTGGACAGGGTCTGCCTTTGCTAGTTAATGAACTTGATAAAAATCAGAGTCACTCCGGGGGAGGGAACCTGTGTGGGCATGTTTGAGGTATTTTCTTGATTATTGACAGATGCGGGAGGGCTGGAACATGGCTACATTCTCACCAGCTTTTTGTTTTGTGGTTTCCTCCACTGTCTAAGCTTGACTGTCCTGGAACTTGATCTGTAGGTCAGACTGGCCTCAAATGCAGGGATCTACCTGCCTCTGCTTTCTCTGAGTGCTGGGATTAACAGCATGCACCATCAAGCTTTAATTTCTTTTCACAATTCCCTTATACCGTTTAGCACCAGGCTTTTCTTTAAACTTTTTCGTGGTTCTCCTCCAAGTGTACATTTTGTATTTTCCTTTCTCAGTCTGCTCCTTTTCATTATAGATCTGCAGAAGCATGGCCACCAGTAACCAAGCAACACAGCCAATGCTAGGCTGTCTAGATATCTTCTCTGCCAAAGCTGTTAATCCATGACTTTTCAGTTTAGCCTTAGGCAGATTTTTTTTTTAAACAAGAGCAGACAGCAGCTACATTCTTTGATAAAATATCACAAGAGCAGTCTCTAGGTCATGCACTAATATTCTCCTCCTCTGAAACCTCTTGAGCCAGGCTCCCACAGTCCAGATCACCCTCAGTACCACTGCCTTCCATTCTCCTACTGGTTTAAAGCATTCAACTGCTTTCCTAATCCAAAGTCTGAAACTCCACGTTCCTCTAAGTGAAAGCTGAGTTAGGCCCATTGCAGCAATACCCCACTTCTGGTACCAACTTCTATCTTAGTTAGGGTTTCTTTTTCTTCTTTCTGGTTTTTGGAGACATTCACTTTGTAGACCAGGCTGGCCTTAAACTGTCTCTGCCTCCTGAGTGCTGGGATTAAAGGTGTGCACCACCATGCCTGGCTTTAGTTAGGTTTTCTTTTTGCTGTAAAGAGACAACATGACCATGGAAAGTCTTTTAAAGGAGTTCAATTGGCGCTGGCTCACAGGTTCAGAGATTTTAGTCCATTACCGTCATGGCAGGTCATTGTCAGCATGGCAGTGTGTGGGCAGACATGGCGCTGGAGATCAGCTGAGAGTTCTACATCTGGATCAGAAGGCAGCAGGAAGAGAGAGACATTGGGCCTGGCTTGAGCATTTGAAACCCCAAATCCCACCCCCCAGTGACACACTTCTTCCAACAAGCCATACCTACCCCAACAAGGCCACATATCAAATAATGCCCCTCCTTGTGAGCCTGTGGGGACCTTTTTCACTGAAACCACCACATCTACCAACTCCAAGGACTTTGGAAGCTGTGACTTTTTTACTCCCGAGTCTATGAGAAGCGCCTACCTTCGGGAGAAACTGACTGGTAGCAAGCTGCTTCTGTCCCTGAAACATCCAAACTACATTCTACAGGGGCCCTGTGGTGGGTAGGGGAGAAGGCTGGTGTAAGGCATGAATGGCCCTGACCCTCAGCTGCCCTAGAGAACGCATGGCAGAGGTATGCTGAGGTCTCAGTGCCCACACAGATCACCTGGGAGTCTCTATATTTGCAGCGAGCTGCCTGCCAGGCGACTTTCACGCTCATGCATGACTCACACTCTGAGCAGCAAGCTCTGAGGGGGTGGAAGCAGACTTCTGAGAGGTTAAAAGAAGCAGCCGTGAGTGGGCACGGGGGCTCGTACTTGCAAATCCCAGTGCTCAGGAGACTGAAGTTGGAAGTTTAAGAGGCTACACAATGATCCAGAAATAAAGTCATAAAAATGCGCTTTTAAAATACTCCAGCATTCACTGGATTTTCACTGCGTGCAGGCTGTTGGGTTGGCCTCTGGGATTAAAAACAAACAAAAACCCAAAAAGACGAATAAGACCCAAGACAAACGCTGCAGAGAGCACACACTCGGCGTGTTAGGATCCTGGTGTCATATTTTAAACTGGTCCTATGTGGGAATTTGTCCTCAGGGATCTCAAGCCTGGCCTAGCACACAGAGTTAGATCTCATCCCAAAGAAGATGAAGTGTTTGGGAGAGGATGTCAGCATGACTAGAGCCATTGGCCCTCCTGCGTGTGAGTTATTATATTAGAAAAGCAAGCACCATATCTATCATAGTGGGGCTGCTGGGAGAACTCATGAGCGTGCCCAGTGCACAGTTATTACTGAGTCCAGTTGTGGAAATACACACACCATACCCTGTGTTGGTCCCCGATGGGAAAAGGTGCACCTCAGGACTCGGCCTTGATCCTTGAGGCCATAGATGGTCTGTGGTTCCAGAGATTCCATCCTTCATATTACACTGAATTTACTACATTTATGATATCTGGAATTTAAGGTCAGTGTCTGTGGAAGCTGTTTCAGTAGCAAAATTATTACTGCCTAAGACTGAATGTTTTGGGTTCAGAGTCAGAGAGATCCATGGACCAAACCAACAGGAGAGGGGCCCTTCAGCCAAGGACAGGACTTACAGACTGCCAGACTTCAAGCCCCGAAAAAGACCAAATAGCAAAAGCAGAGTCTGGAGTGAGCACATTGACAACCCTTTTCCTGGTAGGGGTCACAGCGTTTTCTAATTTCATAAATCGTATGTGACATTTTCTTCCTTGGATAGAAACCATAGATGGACATTTTGGCCTAGCTCGTCCTGGGCCAGTAGCTGACATTAAGAATTCAGCTTGTAGCTCATGGACTCTGGACTGACAGCTACAGAGACTTCACAGGACCAGCCTAGGCCCTCTGTGTGTGGGTCATGGGTGTGTAGTTTGGTCTGTTGTGGTGCATGAGCTGACTTATGGGAACCTACCCCCCATGTTGGGATGCCTTGCCCTGCTTGATGAAGGGGAAGAAGCTTGGTCCTTCTCAACTAGATATGCCATGCTTTGTTGACTCCCATGGGAGGCCTGCCCCTTTCTGAATGGAGGTGGAATGGATGTGGCCAGGATAGGTGGGAGATGGGGAGAGGGAACTGGAGGAAAGGAGGGAGGGGAAACTGGTTGGCATGTAAAATAAATGAAAAATTTTAATTAGAAAAATCTCAAATAAAAAATAAAGATTCTATGCTAAGAGCCTCAAAAACAAAAACGAATTCAGCTTGTGAAACTCAGTAGTTCAATATACTGGTTGCTCTTACAGAGGATCTGAGTGCCCAGCACCCTGTAATAACAGCTGTGGGGCATCCAGTGCCCTCTTCTGGGCTTTGTAGGTAATTGCACATGGGGTCTACACACACACAGATACACATTTATAAGCATAAAAATATTCATTAAAAAGGATTTCAGATTGTGGTGCTGTTAGAAATGGCACAGACCATCTTCACATTCTACCCAGTTCCAAGCCAACAGGTGACATCCCCAGGTACTGACCTGAGGTCAAGTGTTTCGTGTTAACAGACTCCCAAACCCTTGGGTAGAACTCCCCAACACCGCAGAGCAAGTGTGTTCGCTCATTAGTCTTCCTGTCACTCAGGCCGAATCCCTGGCAAGCAAGAATGTAAGAGAGGAAGGGATGCTTTGGGTTCCTAGTTGTAACAGGTAGATAGCGTATATAGCCCATCTTGGTGTGGGAGGGCACGGCCTTAGGAGTGGGAGGTGGCATTGTGTTCACGGTGGAGGAGCAGTGAAATGGACAGGGAATAGGTCTGGTCCCCGTGATGTGATCTGCGTTCCCCACTCCCATCCTCCAAGTTAGGTTCCAAGACCCACATGTCCCCAACCTTCCATAACAGCCTCCACCACCAGCCGGGGACCAAGTGTTGTTGAGATAGATGAGCCTACAGAGGCTCAACACATCCAAACCACAGCAGCAGGAAGCCAGAGTCCTCACATTGCCTTCCAGTGAGAATTCAGACACGAGAGGACACTGTTAGACCTCGGCACAGTCTGGCGTAACGCGTATGCACCGATACAGCCAAATTCAGAGCTAGCCACCTAGTCTTGGCTAAACGAAGCCTAATCAAAGCAAAGCTAATGAGAGCTGTCCTTCTCCCTGTCACCTGCAGGTCCCAGGAGAAGACGGAAGAAGCCATCGTGCTGCTGAAGGAGTCCATCAAGTATGGGCCAGATTTCGCTGATGCCTACTCCAGCCTGGCTTCCCTCCTGGCTGAGCAGGTAACTGTTTCCATTTAATTTCACAAGTGTTTCTCCAATTGGTACTGTCAAGCGCATCGGGCAATATCATCACAGATTTTTATAGAAATATCATAACTAATAATCGGTAGCTGCAGTCAAACAGTGGCTCTTACGTCCGTCTCGTGCTCGGTCTGCTCTAGAAGCCGAGCTTTCTCTCTGGTAAGGATCAGACTGAGCTCCCTGGTAGCAGTCACCTGGCCTACGTAAAAGAAATGACTTGATCCCACACATCAGTTACTAAGGGTACAATTTGCATTTTAAACATTTCAAAAGTTCCAGCAAGCACCAAAATTAGAGTAGTCTATGAATATTCAAGCGGCAGAAATTATGAACTTGGTTTCTGTGCTTTAATACAGCCATTCCCAGAACCTTCCTCAGACACAGAAGAAACCTGTGGCCCTCTGGGTCTCAGATATCAAATGGCATTGGGGGTAAATAACTCTTGTTCACATGTTTTAATTACTCAACTTAGTACAGTGTACACCAGCTATGCACATAGCTGCTACACCACGTTGATTAGGAACCAAAGACAAGAAACTTCAGTACAGACATGATATTTTATGAGAGAGAGAGAGAGAGAGAGAGAGAGAGAGAGAGAGAGAGAGAGAGAGAGAGAGAGTGTGTGTGTGTGTGTGTGTGTGTGTGTGTGTGTGTGTGTGCCCGGTTCAGAGAGGCTATCCAGTGCCTTCCTATGTTGCCCCCTCTCCCTTATTCCTTTAAGACAGGGCCTCTCGCTGCACCTGAAGATTACTCTTTTGGCTACACTGGCCGGCCAGTGCACTCTGAGGATTTATCTACCTGCTTTTGCCTGAATCACTGGGGTTATAGACACGTGTCCATGTGTGTGCTAGGGATTCAAACCCAGGTCCCTAAGCGTATACAGCTAATCCTCTCCCTGCCCCTCCTCTGGGTGTTTGATCTCAGGTTTGTTGGCTCTGCAGATAGAAGGGTCCCTGTGTTCTCATCAGTGCCGACAGGCTGTAGACAGGAAGCCAGTGGGGGCAGATGACATAGGCATTCAGTCCTGGACAGCTTCCAGCTTACATCCATGACGACACGGGAGGGTTTTCTAGAGAAAAGATTGCCTGCCTCACTCAGTACCACGTCTTCTCACTTCACCCCGGCTCCTTCATCTTTTACAGACACACACCTTGCCTCTGCCTGTGACCTAGGCATGCCAAGCCCCTCCCTGCGCAGACATTTTCCTCGGCCACCACACATCTGTGACAGATCCGTTTCCGTCCTCCTGCCATGCCGGTTCTGCCCACACAGTACCTCTAGGTCTTCCTGATGGCCCTCTCCCTACACTCTGCCATGTCTTTCATCTCTGTGTCCTGCATTTTCCATTCCTTACCTTACAGTGTTATACCATGTACACAGCTGTATGTGTTAGTGGTCTCCCGCCCACCTCCAGAATGTCCGACTCTGTAAGGACAGTTATTCTGTCTATCATGGTTTTCTCCAGCTGCCAGGCTGCACACAGTCGGCAGACTCCAGATTGGTGAGTAAATAAATAAACCTGGAGAGTGTGCAGTGCCCACGCCAGAGCCCGTTCTGGGCTCGGGGTCACACTGTGTCGCCGAATCATGCTTCAGTGATGATCCATCCTGCGCTGAGGACTAGTCTGAGAAGCAGTCTTGGGGCGCTGTCCGTAGTAACCCCAGACTGTCCGCCATGAGGCTGTGACCATCATCCCTTATGCCGTTCAGTGTGTCTGTATGAAGCCCTGGGGGTGAGAGACCCATGTTTCAGTGTTGGAAAACCTATATATGTTTCTCCTAAATTACATTGAGTTTTTATTTTCTCTTTAATCTGGCCCATGCAGATTTTCTGTTTTCCGGAAAGGTCAATTCTGTCTCCACTCCCGTTTCTCCTCGACTGACAGCCATCTGGACGGTGTTAGCTGCCTCTCTTCTGTGCTGTTCTTACTTCTACGTTTGTTGTTTTTTTCTCAAGTCATACTACGTTCATGTTCCTGCCTTGGCTTCATTCCGCCACAGTGCGGCGTGAGTGGAGGTTGTGCTAATAGTTTCCAGCTCGGATCGGCTCTCCCAGCTCCCCAGGCAGGTAGCAGACATTGCGTTGCCTGTAAGGAAGACACCACAACATTATGCCAGTTCACCATTCTCAGGACCATCCTTGCTTCCAGAACCCTTCAGTTTCTAGTTCCTGCCCAAACTTCCTCCACTTCCCTATCTGGTGGTGAGTTTTACCTTCCAGAGATCTCTGTGTTCATCCCTTTTCCTGTTGCTGCGAACAGATACCGCCAACAAATGCAGCTCAGAGAGGAGGGGGTACTCACAGCTTGGGACTACAGCCTGTCGTGGAGAGAAAGAGGGGCGTGACAATGAGTGGTTCAGTGGAGCGGGGGGGGGGGGATATTTGACGTCATTTGACGTCTGCTTGTTCACATCTCAGTAGTTCGGGAAGCAGACAGGAAGAGGGCCCAGCTATAAACTTCAAGGCTTGCTTCCAGAGTCCCACTTCCTCTACCTAGAGAGACTCTCAGAGGACCAGGAACACTAGCTGGGAACCAAATGACCCGTAAGGGAAGTTTCACCCTTGAGCCATGACATCAGAATACAAACTCACCATTTATTTCATTTCTTGGGCTAGTATCCTGGGATAAAATTTAAATCACGTGGGCCAGGGAGCTGGATGAGTGGGCAAAGTATTTGCTGAGGAAGCGTGAAGTCTGGAGTTCAGATCCTCAGACCCTACACAAAAAGTGAAGCAGGCATTATTCCTACCTGTAATTCCAGCACGTGGGCCCTAGTAGGCATCCCAAAGTTTCAACTGTACTCCCTTTCTAAATTGGTGGACTCAGTTCAGTTACAGATACTACCTCAGGGCTGGCGCCATGGCGCAGTGGTTAAGAGCACTGGATGCTCTTTCAAAAGACCCGGGTTTCCTTCCCAGCACCCACATGGCAGCTCGCAACTATCGGTAACTCCAGTTCCAGGGGATTGGGTACCCTGGCATACACATAACGTGCAGACAAAACACCAATGCACATAAGAATAAATAAATCTAAAAAAAAGATTAGTAATATATATATATATATATATACTTTTTCCTTAGCTGAATTTCAAGAGTGTCGGATGGGATATCTGAAATGATTTCCTGATGGAGCTGTTTTCTGTGGAAATGGGTCTTGCTGATGAGCAAAGCCATCCCATTCCACTGTCAGAGCTCAGCAGCTGTGAAGGGAAGAGGTTGTGCAGGAGACCATCATCCTGTCTGACAGACACGTGCTCTTCCCACTCTGGGGGCTAGGAGTAGGTGAACTGCTTTGGGCTCCAAGAATCTCACAGAAAAATCTGAAGGGTTCTTCTACCCTAGGGCCATTGGTTTTAACTTCAAAGAGACCAGACAGCTGTAAGGCGGAACTCAGGGCCCCTCCCTTCTCCAAGCCTACCTTAATGTCTGGAATTCTTTCAGGAAGAAACCTGGTTTCTGATACACAGTGCATGAACAGGAGGTCAGAACCCAAACCTGACGTTCTTTGAAGCAGCCTTTCCTGGTGACCCCACTGTTAACAGCATCCTAGCCTTTCAAACACCGAGAAATATGGAAGCAATGTTCTTATACTTTGGTCAGCTTGCACACACATGTGACACTTCACCTCCCCCAGAACAGGGCTACCATCTGTCACACGCACAGCCCTTGCTTATGCTAACTGTGGACCAAGGTCACGCTAAAAGAAATGAGGACTGAATAAAATCTCCCGTGTGCAGGCCAGATTCCAGAAGCTGCGTGAAAGAACTCACATTTAATTTCTAGTTTGCCAAGAGCACAGCCTGTGGACTGTGAGGCACTGGGCAACTAGGGTGTCTGTGCAAGATTTGTCTGTCGAATATGCTTGGTTTACTCACACCAGCATTCCGTATACTGTTATAATAATAGGGTTCCACTGGGGACTCCTCTCTGGCTCTCTGGTAAGGACACTTTGGAAGCCTCCAGGCTCTCTGCCCGTGTCTGCAATGAAGTCTTCCGGCTGTGGCAGGCTGGGAGTAAGGCACTGGTGACAGTCCAGGAATTCCTTGAGAGCATAGACCAGCAGCTGGGACTGACTCGTGGCCCTGTGTGTGCCCAACGGAAGTCCAGACGTTCAGTGATCTCCAAGACAAGGGCGTGTACAGAGCCGCAAGGCTGCTTGCTGATGGGCTGGAGAAACCAACTCTCAGAGAAGGGCAGCGCAATCCTAGAGGCCATTTCTAAAGTTACAATTTTTTGTGTCCGTTGCCTTTCGGGGCTCACAGCTTGGGGCTGGTTCACTAGCTTCAGCAGCACCTTGGGGTCACTTGATTAGTGTATCAAGGCCTGCCCTGGGCTAAGCTGGGCTAAGCGCCGTCTGAGCTGCCTGGGCTTGCTTCTGAGGCCTAGCTTTGGCAGAGCTGCCTCCTGGCAAGCTCGGGCATCGTAACTCAAGTCACACAAAATGGCTTTCAAGTTACACGAAATGGTTTGTTCCTACCTAAGTTCTTTGTCTTTGCCTGTAATTTCTGATTTTCTAGGATTTTTTAGTCCTGTCCTTTCTGCCATTTAAAGTACCAGTTACCCTTTCCAGCTGGCTACTTCAGCGCGGAAATTTAGGAAGAGTAACGTTCAATTATTTGTTTATGTCTTAAAAGAAAAATTATACGGAGATGGGGACAGTGGCTCGGGCTTTTGTCCAAGTATTTGGGAGCAGAGCCTGAGAGTCTCAGAGACACAGAACCCCAGCAGGGCCCCTCCAGTACAGACACACAGAACCCCAGCAGGGCCCCTCCAGTACAGACACAGAACCCCAGCAGGGCCCCTCCAGTACAGACACAGAACCCCAGCAGGGCCCCTCCAGTTCAGACACACAGAACCCCAGCAGGGCCCCTCCAGGACAGACACACAGAACCCCAGCAGGACACCTTCAGGACAGACACACAGAACCCCAGCAGGACACCTCCAGGACAGACACACAGAGCCCTAGCTGGGTTCTTCCG